GAATAATAAATCTACTATTTCTACTAGTTTGAAGTTGATATTAAATTTTTTTTAAAAATCTTTTTAGCCTCTGATATAGCTATTATTTTGTAGAATTTAATTATTGTTTTGTATATTAGTATTTTGATTAGTATAGTATTATAATATATAATTATATATACTAAGAAATATGTATTAATTAGTTGTTTAGTTAAGAGTTAAATAGCTTATTCTTTGTTGAAAAAGTTGATTTTGTGATTTTGTATAGTATAGTTATGATAAGCTATTAAGTATTAGTAAAAATAATAGTTTTAATATTTAGTATTTGTTTTGATATTAGCTTTATATATATGTTCCTCTGCTTAGTTAGCTAACTTGTCAAGGAGTTGAGTAAATATTTTAGTTTGTAGAGTAGCTTCATATTTTTTTTTAATATAGAAAATAAAAGTATCTGTAGATAGATGTTTTTACTATTTACTTTTATTAGATAAGTAAACAACTTCTGAATATTTTATAACTACTTTGTATAGTAAGTTAGAGTTATATTGTATAGTATACTTTTTTTCTCCTTTTCTTTATTTTTAATATCTAGTTTGTTAGTCTTAGTAGTTGTTTTAAGATATTTAAAAGTTTTATTAGTATATATAAGAAAGTGATAGTTTGAAAATTGAGTTGCTTCTATTTAGTATTTATATTAAGAGTTAGAATTTTTTATTTCATATTTGTCTAGTAGAAGTTTAGCTAAATAAAGAATAAAATCTTGTCTGATTTGATATTTAAAGTAAATAAAGATTTTTTGTTTATCAATAGAGTTATCAAATTAGTAAGAGTATCTAAAAGATTATTTTAAACTATTTGCTAAGATTTTAACAGAATTTTTTAGTAAAAAAATATTAAAATAATTAAGAAAAAAAGTTTTAAGAAGATTGAATAGTATGTTAATATTAAATCTTAAGTCAAAAGAAATAGTAAAGTATTCTTTTTCTTGATCAAAGTATTCAATTTTAAAGTTGATTTTAAATCTTTTTGATCTGAGTTTGAAATCTTTATTAAATTTTTTGTAATTAATTAATTAAAAGTTATTAGTTAAGTAGAAATATATTTAAACAAATTTAAAGTCAATTTTGAATTTTGTATAGAGAGATAGTAATAGAAAATGTAAAAATCTCTTCATAATTTATTTTAGTAAATAGAATAATAGTAAATTTTAGTAGTAGATTTTTTAATATTAATTCAATAATATTAAAATAAATTGTTATATATGAATTAATATCTGAATTTGCTTAGTTAATAAGTTTTGTTAAGAACTCAAATCTTTAGCTAGCTATTGTATAGATAAAATATTTAAAAGATATCTGTTCTAAAGTAAAGTTAGAAAGGTTTTCCTTAAAAAAGTTAAAAAGTTAAAATAATAGCTTAGTTTGAAGTTTAGTGTTAGATTTTATTTTTTTTATAATTAAAAAGTTAGTAAGCTAGTCATATACTAGATTTGGTTTAGATTTGTTAGTTTTAGTATAAGGTTTTAGTAAGTTTTTATTTAAAGCATTTGTATAAAATAGAGTTTTGTTTTAAGTAAATTGAGTTGGTATATTGTTAGTATCTTTTTCTTTCAGAGTTTGTATTTTTGATAAGTCTAGTTCTATACTGTTTGAATTTGTTAATAGGGTTTGGTTCTCAGTTTGTTTGTTTTTTGGAAAAGGAGAAAATTTAATTTCTATATTTAATAAAATTTCTTTTGTAGTTTTAGTAGTAGTAATAGGTGGTTAGAAGAAGTTAGTATTAATTATAGTATTAAAGGAGTTAGCAAAAGAGAAAGTAGATTTTGGAGTTGTTGCTGTTTTTAGAAGATAGAGATTAGGTTTTTCTTAGTAGAAAAAAGATTATGAGTTGCTGAAAATGTAGAGCTAAGATTAGTAGAAGAAGAGAAGTTAGTAGTATTGTTTGAAAGATAGACATAATAGTATATATTATTTTTATAAAATATAGTATTATTAGCTAATCTGCAGTTGTTATTAGTAAGCTTACATCTAATAAAAAGCTAGTATTTTAAGCAGATATATTAGCAAAAAATTGGTATAGGAGATAGTAAGATATATTCAGTAATTCCTTCTAAGTTTTGAAGAAAAACCTTGGTTTTTTTGTTGTCAGAGTTTGTGAGAAGAATAGTAAAGCTAGAAATAGAGATATTATATTCAGTATTGTTTATAAAAATAAAGCTAGTATAGTAGATACTATAGAGATATTGAATAATAGCTAAGATTTTAGAAGCAAAGAGAAAATATATAGTTTTAATATTGCTTTAGAGAGTTTTAGTAAAACAGATAATTAGTTTGCTTTTAGACAAGATTAGTATAATATTTTTTAAATTTTCTTTATAAAAAGCTACTTTGAAAGTATCAGAATATTTTTTGTAAAAGTAATTCAAATCAAGAATATCTGAAATTTTATTAGTTAAAGTAGGCATATTAATAGTATCAAATTATAGTTATATGTTTAGATGTAATGATGTTAAGAAAAGCTTTTTAGAGAAGTATAGTTTGTATTGTATAATAATAAGTAGCTTATATAACTTGTATAACTTATATGACTTAGACCTATATAGCTAGTGTAGCTTGTAGCTAGTATAGTATAAGTTAGATATTGCTTATATAGTACAGAGTATAGATATATAGTACTAAGTTAAAAATAGATTAAGTTGTACTATATACAATACAAATTAAAAATGATACAAACAAGTAAATAAGTAATTTGTATTAAATTAATGAGAACATAAAAAAAAATAATGAAATTAGTATAATTATTAGATTGACTAGTAATTTTTTATTAAGTTGTCATATAACCTAATTTTAGATTTAAAGAGGAAAAAAGAAAAAAAAGAAAAAGAAAATAAATTTTAAAAAAAAGACTTAAAATAGTTTTTGAGGCTAGTTTGCTAAGTTTAGATCTGTTTTGATTAAATTTATATTAAAATAAAGCTAGTAATATGCTAAACACAACTCTATTAGTAGATAAGAGCTATTAGCTTAGTAAATTATTATAAGATTTCTAAAAAACTATTTGATAGTTATAGTAGAATAACTTTATATATTAGAGTCTGAAAAGTATAAAACTAAACTACTTTAGAGCAAAATTTTGTATAAAACAATTTTGCTTAATAGTTTAAAAGTTGTTTACTTAATAAAATATTTAGTTATAGCAAAATGTTATTAGAAAGTTTTAGTACAAGAGTTGCTCTATTTTATTTTTTTTATATTTATATTTCTAATTCTAATTATTCTAAATTAATCTTTAATATTATTCTAATAGGTTTTGAATGAATATACAAATTATAATAATTATCTAATTTAGTAGTCATAACTATATAAGATTAATTTAAAAATATAAGGTGATTGAATACTAATAAAGATAATATATAAGTATAAGAAAAACTAGTTAATAATAAAAATATTGATATCTATATAAAGAGATCTATAAAGTTAAATATAATAATTATTTTAAATTTATTAGTTATAATAGTAATTAATACTAAATTGTGAAGTTGAATATTATATTAAAATTCTATATAGTTTTTTTAAATATAACAGTATGATTAGTTATTGATTTTAATAATAGAAATCTATAAGACTATCTAAAAGATAATTAATTATTATTTAATTTGATCAGAATTTTGATTATTAAAGTATATGATTTATTAATAACACTATTCTAATTACTAATAAGAAATAATATCAAACTTCTACTCAAATTTTGAAGTATTAGTTCTTAATACTAAACTTTATGAGAGTCTTCATTTGAACTCTAAAAGTTATTTTTTATTAAGGTAGCTTATATTGTTTATATAGATAAATTTTATATATAAAAATATTTGAAGAATATAAAAGATAAATACTATTCTAATAATAACAATTTGCTTTTTATTTATAGTTTTGCTATTGTTATACTTAGTAACTATAAGTTAGTTATTTAATCTTTAGAATTATCATGTAACAGATAATAAAAACTTATTAAAAGTTAGTATAGTGAGTAGATAAAAAGAATTTTAAAGCTTTAGTTATTATTCAGACTTCAGTTATATAGCTAGTTTTTTTAATATTATTGAGTCTTTTAACTTTTTTTAATCTATTCAAGCTGATCTATTCTCTTTCTTAAAATAGTCAAACACAAGATTTAGTGAATAAATTCTTATTACTCAATAATTTAATGATACTTTACTCTTGTTCAAAGAGTAAATTAAGTAGTATAATATTATAAAAGTACAAGTTTATCTAATTAGCAAAGGATTAGATTAGAATTGTTAAGTGAATTTATAGGTTAAAGAAGATTTAGAACTTTATTTATAAGTAAAAAAATTTAATCATTTATGTGATATTTTTTATTAAAGAGCAGAATTGCTTGCTTATATAATTTTTAAAATAATAGTTTAGTGATAATATTTATTACTCTTTTTTTTTTTTGATGTTAAGGTAAGTACTTAGTAGGGATGGTAAAAAAATATTTTAAACAGTTTTTTGGAGGTTTTAAATCATTTTAAAAAAACTTTTTAAAATATCAGTGACTGAGTCTGAAAATAAAACTATCGCTTCTGATTAGTTAATTTCAGTACCAGCCAACAGATCGAGAAAGTATAAAAAAATATTTTAAATATTGTAAAAATATTACATGTTAAAAACTTATAAGAAATGTACTTAATATTTATTTAATTTAATTAAATATGATATTTAATCTTTTGTACTGTTGCTTCAAATATTTACTCTGCCTATTATTTAAATACATTAATAATAATTAATTTAAACGTCATCTTCAAACCAACCATTATCCTTTATTTCTTTTTGAATTCTCAAATTTTGATAAATAGCTACAAGTCTTTTGACCTAGTCATTATTCAAACGTGCACGATGTTTAGTATGAATAAATCCAAAATTGGACTAACAACATTCTGTAGCAGCCGAAGAGGCAGGAACAGAGAGGACTTGGAAGGTGAGTTCAACTACTAAAGGAAATTTATTTGAAAAATTTGATTTCTACCAACTAATTGGAGTTGAATGTTCAACAGATGCCCAAAGCAATAAACCAGAGAATTCATCAGCTTTAGTGATATATTTTTGGATTACTCTGAAAATCTTTAGCATAAATAAAAAATAATACTGTATATATTGTAAATGTTAATTAACTAGCATAATAATTTGTTAATATTTTGATTCTTACATGTGCTGCAATTTCAAATAAATAAATATTTTCGATATATGAAATGATTATGTTCCCGAGTTTATTTAGTCTCAATGATTTTCTGCAAACTCTACAATTAAATTATTAATAATGAATCATATCTTTAAATTTTTAAATAATTTTAAAAAAATATTACTTAGGGTCTAAAAGATTTGCAATTGATATTGCAAGATGAAATGCAAAGTCAAAGTGCTTATTAATTAAATCAACTACTTTTGACTTGAATTCCACATTCAAGTTATACAAATAAATAGATTTTCGAATTTGTTCCCATTCAGAATGAGCATGTGAAAGTAATGGTTCATCAGATTCAAATAAATGTATAAGCTTAACAAAGGGTATCAAGAAAGAATCTAGTTTTTCTAGTTCTTTCCATGATAAATCATTTAAGATCTGGTCTCTAAGATCATGTGCAATTTTTTTACTTATTTCAGGTTGTATAACTGCCATTTGAATTCCTAGCTTGCATTGAAGAACTGCTTGAATTGCATCTAAACAAGTACCCCAATGGGTATCAACAGGTTGAACCAAAGTAATAGTATCAGGCTAATTCAATAAAATTGATTCTGCCTGGTGATGTTCTCGAAAAAAACCAATAATTTGTTTTACATAAGCTATTTTCTTTTCTACCCAATTAAGCTTGAGTATATCATTAATTAGAAGATTACTAATATGTGCGTTGCAGTCTAAACAAATTAATCGAGGGTAATCTTTATTTAGCAATTTCCATGCTGCTCTCATAGAACTAGCATTATCAGTTATAATAGCAGCAAACTTAGAAGGACCAACACCTTCAATTATAACTTTTAACTCATTATAAATATATTCTGCATTATGTAATTCAGATCCAGTATATTTTGCATCATAAAAGACTAGTTTTGGAGGCAAAGAATGAAATTTAAAACTGACTCTCTTTGAATATTTGACCACTCATCCGAAACTAATGTAATATTTGTTGTCTTCTCTAAGATTGTATCTAAATTTTGCTATTCCTCTTGATATTCAGTATTAAGCAGATCATTAGCCAAATTACGATGATTAGGACTAATATAAAACAGGTTAACATTTTTAATATAAAGTTGCACAGCTTCTATAAATTCTTCCCAAAAAGGGGTTTCAATAGCCGTAAAAGGAATACTAGCAAAATAAAAAAATCTTGCTAATTTACTGTCTACATCTAATTTAGTTACTGTCATTTTATCTTCACTTAGACTAGAATCTTGAGTATTATTATTAATATTTAACACTAATAAATCTTTTATAGTTTTCAGAAGCTTTTTGCATTTTAATAAGTGATCTTTTAATCACCTAACCAGGTCAACGAAGTCTTCTTTGCAGTGAATACACTTTTGACGAGATGTTATTCGACTATATTTGTTAGTCTCTGTAACTTTAGTAAAGTTTAAACGAATTTCTTTTAATGGAGGCTTTTTGTGAATCATAATTAATTCAAAGATGATTTTATTTTTATTATTATTAGTAATCAAAATAAATACATATAATTGCATAATTTTATTATCACTATGATTATGTCAGAATATATTAAAACATTTAAAATTAGTTTTAAATCAAACAATCAAGATTTTTAAGATTATGTTTTAAATCATTTGCCATCCCTAGTACTTAGCTTAATTTGTTTATTGTGAATTAAATTATCTATTACAATTATTACATTATAATTTCAAACTATTCTACATTTACTAAATTAAGCTTAGGACATATAGTACATTTTATATGCACTATCTATTCTCATATAAGATCTATTAGAGTAGTCCATAGCTCATAACTATATATTGCCTAGATTCTTATAACCTCTTTTTTTTCAAGTATGACTACTATACTGTATTCACTGTATCTCCTATACTCCTTATAAATAACTTCCAAATTAGTAACTGAGTAAGGTGTTCATAACCTTATGGCTACTTCTAATTTGATGCAGTTTGAGTTACCATGATATTGGTATTCTAAGATACGGACTTGTCCAAAGTAATATCAGAGATAAGTTGTATGTACACCAATTTCTGTTTATAGGTACTTCTGTGTGTTAGTAAGGTCCAGAATATGTTTCACAATATGAGTTGCTTCTAGCTATAGATTTCATAATACAGATATACTACTACTATATAATTGGTGTTCTGAAGAACTAGTATACCTTTGTGTTTCGTATTACCACTACCAGCTTGGTGTATCATGCTATTTCGAATTTTTACAAGCATATCCTGAATTTTGATCTGCTCTCTATATTTGTAGTAATCTTACTTGATTTAGAAGAATTATAGTTACTCTTGTTGATATTCATACAACTCAGTTCTTACTGTAGCTCTCCACCAGTATGTATTAATTAATTTTTTTAGATATTTTACAAAATAGATCCTCCCAAATTCAGTTAGCTACCAAGCTAGGTTGGTACTACTAATCTTTACTATGGATACGGACTTACTCACATCTATCTCAATTTGCATCCTTTGAAACAGTTTCTTTCTAGATCAAGTATTAACTAGTATAACTGTCGAAAGCTATACTACTTCACCAACTTAGGATTTCTACTATACAGGTCCCCTGCTCATATATCCAATACAAATTTATTTGTGTAATATTATCATTATACTTCTAGTATCTGATTAACTTAATGCAATGCCATTTTTTACAGAGTTTTGTCACATCTCCCAGAACTCTCTTTTCGGGAATGAGCAGAGTTTTTCATAAGTTTGGTATATAGATCTAGGTATTATTCAAATTTTATTAACAGTGAGATTTGAACCCCAGACCTATTGCATAGCGATCTAACAACCTGACTACTATACTAGATTGCCAGACCTTAATATTTATTACTCTTAAAACCCTTATAATATATATAATGAATAAAACTATTAAATCTAATAAAACTCTTATAATATTTATTTTTTTTAAAATATTATAACTATTTTTTTTTTTCCTTAAGTAGTCACACTAATACTTTATTAGACTTCTTAAAACTATATATTTTTCAGAAGAATTAACCTAATTTTCTAAGCTTAGCATTACTCAGTTCCCCTATAGGGCCTAAGTATGATCTACTACACTATCTCAAACGAAGATAGACCGCCTTGTCTGACTGCTACCCTACAATAGGATATCGCCAATTTGATGATATCTTTTCATAGGGAAGCAAAAAACAAAAAAAAATTTTAAGTAAATAAAAGAAAAACAAAAGGAGGTGTAAGGGTAAACAATAAAAAAACAGAACAAGAAATAAAAGGGGAAAGGAGTAAAGAGAGAAAAAAGAAACATGAAATTTATATTCTACAGATATCAGACAATCACTATTATAAGCTTATAATAGGCTTTAAAAATTATAGTCTATACTAAATAAGAATAACTCTACTATCTTCTTATTTAATTAGAATATTTAAT